AGTCGAGACTTTTTTAAATTAATATTTATTAAATTAATATTTATATATATAAAATGATTATCGATTTTGGTATTCATTATTTCGTTATTTGTTTACTGCATTATTTTGATATGTAATGTGAAACTGTTTAAAAAAAAAAAGGAAATCACCACCTTCAATATCCAGTATTGATTTATAATAAATACTCAACGATAGGATGAAAACACATTACAGAAAGATTTCTTTCTTTAATAGTATGCGCATAATTTACATGCAAATAATATAATCTCATAACTAAAACAATAGCTTTCATTATTTAAAAACATTCCAATTTTTTATGAATAAAAATGCCGGAAGAAAGACGTGAAAATGATTCAAGTGAACTAACAAAAGGACACGAAAATGATTCAAATCATTCACATGAACCAGCAGATGCAACTCATTATAAAGTTTTAGAACGAAGGATTGTTAGAAAATGTGATTTTTACATACTACGTATGTTTCAACATTTATATAATTACCTCTCTTGTTCAAATATGCACGACTTGTATGTTGAAATTAATCTTATAGAAATTTTTTTTTTTTTTAAATAGCTATATTGACCACAATATATTTATTGGGCATCGTTGATCGTATCAACATAGGAAATGCTCGTATTGCAGGATATGATTATAAATATTTGAATTCCACTCCTTCAGAATATAATCTTGCAGTAGCGATGTATTTTGTCTCTTATATGATATTCGAAATCCCCTCAAATTTTGTGACTAAAGTTTTGGGGTTTCAAGTTTGGATGCCTATAATAATGGTATGTTGGGCGGTTGCTTCTATGAGTCAAGCTGCATGTAAAAGCGCGCTTCAATTAGGGATAACTAGATTTTTATTAGGTTAGTATTTATAATAACATAATTTTCATAATTTAGTGATTAATTTAAATTATATTATTATTATTATTATTATCGTTATTATTATTTATGTCTTGTGACTCATTTTAATAAATTATTAATACAGGATTGGCCGAAGCTGGATTTCCTCCATCTGTAGTAGAATATGTCGGCTTTTTTTATGCTAGAAAAGAATTAACCTTAAGATATTCTGTTTTTATGGCATTAATTACTGTCTCTGGTGCACTTAGCGGAATAATTGTAAGTTTTTTAAGTCTGTCACGATTGACAAATTAACAAATGCATCAATATCAATTAACTAATTTAAATTTTTTATTAATAAAATAATTATTTTCTATTAATTATTATTAGTCATTTTTCGTAGTTCAAATAAATGGGTTTTCATTACATGGATTCCAATTGTTATTTTTAATTGGTGGCATTCCAACTATAATTTTGGCTGTAGTTG